ATGCGTTTCCAAAAGATATCCGACGTGCTGATGAAGAAGGGGAAGATCTCAGAGGTCGAGCGCTGTACTATCTTCATCGGACACTTGTCCAAAGGTAGGCAAAAGAGTATACTTAGAGATCTTCCGCGCGACAGGCTTGATTTCCCAGAAGTCCTAAAGCTCGCGATAAAGGCAGAGGCAGACGATTACAAGGACTTGGTGTGGAGAGGGATGAGGAGACGTGATTTCTCTCTCTACAAGGAGTATGTCACTGATAGATGTCCTGATTTCAAGGATTATCCCTGGTCGGAGAAGAATGAGGCCGTGCCTGAGGAAGTGAAGGAGATACGGGACATGGTGAAGAGATTAACGAGACAGGTTACAAAGATTGTGACCGCTACAGGGGCCACGGCCTACCGGGACAAACCTGGAGGGCCCTATTCACTTCGCTGGGACCGTAGGAACAACGATCCCTGGAGGAGTGTCGAGGAYAGAAATCCTCGGACGCTGACTGATTATCGAACGAGGGGAAGAGAGAGAGGCGATGAGCCATGGCGACGTACGGACGATGAGATAGACCGAGACCGCAGAGACCGCGAGCCGTTTGTGCGAGCGAGGAGGCTGGATGATTACCCGCGAAGCCCTCGCTATGAGGCCGATCGGGGTAGAGYCGACTCCCGCGGCCGATGGAGGACAGAACAGGGTCGACGAGATGGATATAGGGACGACAGATATGAGAGATCGGATCGAGATGGATATAGGGACGACAGATATGAGAGATCGGATCGAGATGGATATAGGGACGACAAAGACGAGAGGTCGGGTCGAGATGGGTACAGAGGAAGTAGATATGAGAGAGGGGATCGGGACTGGGAACGATAAGATGGGTCGCGCGGACGGTTTGAACGCGGGGGAGAAGCGAGAGAGCAGCGCGACGAGTCGCGGGAATGGTACAACCGAGGGGACCGACGCGATGAGTCACGCGGGCGATATGACTCGGGAAACCGCCAGAATGATTCACGAGGGCGGTATGAGCAAGGAGGGTCTGAAGGAGACCGGCGCAACGATTCACGCGGTCGAAATGAGAGGGGGGAATATGGCGTCTCATCAGAACCATATCCAAAGTCGCCTGACCCCAAGGCGGCCATAAATTCGATCTCTAGAGGTGCAGACGACAGGGCATCTACTCCGAGGAACTCATGCGTCTACTGTAGAGGAGAAGATCATATCAAGAGGGATTGCCCGGACCTCAAACGGGCAATAAAAGAGGGACTTGTCGTGCTTGACGACCGCAAGTACGTCAAGTGGGCAGATGATCTCGGAGATGTATCGATGTTCCCTTCGATGAAGATGAAGGAGAATGTCGAAGCAAGGAGAATAAAGACGAGTAAAAGAATGGAGCCGGTCAGGAGCCAGAGCATCAAGATAACCTTTGAGGGGGACATGGCGACCACACCCATAAGGGTGGCAGCTACCAAGTCGGCAAGAGGGTCTACATCGAAGAAGACTGATACGGATTACATGATGGCTGAGAAGGACGAGCAACGGGTCGATGGAGAGGAGGTTATCCTTTCGCCGCGAAAGCGGGGAGTGAAGAAGTTCCTAATGAAGAGCTCGCTGGACGAGATTGACACGGTCGAGCCATTGAGGCGGGCCCTTTCGCAACCCATGCAGTGCTTTATTCTGGAGTACCTGGCGGCATCAAAGCCGGCTCGTGATGAGTTACAAATGATCAAGCAAAAGACTCGCATACCTCTATCGGAGGAGGGTTACGCCCCTAAGGCGGAAGCTTCTACAGTAACAGTAACTGGGGTGACTGCCAGAGCGGATCGCATGGCGACAGTCCTTCTGGATGGAATGGAAGGTGTGCCTCCAGACAAGTTTTATATACTTGGTAGCGGGGCTGTGGAGACAATTATAAACGAGGATGCGGTACTCGATGCTGTGATTGATAACGGCAGTGAGGCTGTCATCATAGACGAGGACCT